CCTCCAGATCCACTCTCCACCTCTCTCCACCCTCCCCACTCCTTAAGGGTCAGACCCATGGGCTGCATTAATAGTTCCTTGTTGTCTGAGTGATCTTAGGGACCAGCCAAAGGAAGCACCAGTAGAGGACTAGGAAGAGGGAGAGGGGTGAAGCCAGGGTTCCCTCCCTGACAAGTGGCCTTGAGTTGATTGCATCTTCCCCAGTGGCCAAGATATAGTGGCATTCACCCCATGGCCAGAAGCTTCATGTCCAGGATCCAAGAGGTGGAGCTAGGAAAGCCCATTCTCTTCCACATCAGTTAGCCAACTTGAGGAGTCTGTGGATTTTTCCACTGGCACCTGAATCCACAGGCTTGAAATCCCAGGTCCCAAGGAGATGCACAAGCCCACTAAGCTACTCTGAGCACCCAAAGTGTCAGCATTGTCTCTAACTTGTCAGATTCTATCAGTAGGAATGAGGAGAAAAGGCATAGTTTATTTATTAAAAGAAGGGTCTGTTTTTAAAAAAGAAGAAAAATTAGTGGCCAAGCAGAGCCCATCCTAGGCTTTTAGGTGTTCTCTAAGTGCTAAGTAATATGTAGAGAGAGTTTCATCATGAAGCATATGAATTCTTTTAAAAAGTAAATTTTAAAATAATATTTTTAAGAGATAAATGTGGATGCTAATTCACAATGGGAGAGGCTAAGGAAGAATAGAGTTACTTTAGATTAGGTAGAGAGGAGTGAAGGGAGTCCAGGGGGTATGGAGGTAGGAAGGATAGTAGAATGAATCAGACATTATCACCCTATGTACATATATAACTATATGACCAGTGTGATTCTACATCATGTACAACCAAAAGAATGAGAAATTTTGATGTGATGTATCAAACTGCATTCTACTGCCATGTATAGCTAGTTAAAACAAGTTTTAAAAAATTTAAAAATAAAAAAATAAATGTTTGCTGTTAGTTTAGAGACTACAAAAATGAAAGAAAAAACAATCATGTGTTCATAAGGTCAGCATCTAGAGATGTCCACTCCCAAGTCTCTGCCAGTATCTGTACCCCAGGTTGCCTCTAGGTAGCCCATTCATAGGACTACAAAAAGAGCACTCAAGACAAGTATCAAACATGGTTTTCCAACGGCGTCTAGCAATTTCTAGAATTATGACTTTCATAGAAGATTCCTACGTAATAAATATCACTTTTACCACATGACCAGTTTTAATGAAAAATATAAGATAATTACAAGACCTTTGTTTACAGGTGAGGAGATAAGGCTGCAGTGGCTCAATAGCCTATGCATCACCACACAGCCCAAAATGAGGTAGCCCAAGTAAGCCCTGAGCATCTCTGTGAGAGGCCTACCACCTGACCACTTTCTCCTCCATATTCATGGGAAGATCAATATAAAGGCTATTGGAAAAGATAAGAACCAGAATTATTCTTACCTCAACCCTTTTATCAGCAAAAATATAGAATTTTTTTTCTGTTTATATATTTAAGACCATATTTCAAGAAAGTGTTTTATAAACACATTCAAACAATCATGGACTGAGCTAGATGTAACCACAATTTATGGAGATTTACAACCATGAGATGCCTTTTAAGTTGAGCTCTGTCATTGCAGTGGCAAACTGCAACCTGGAAGCAGAAAGTGACTTAACAAGAGCAACCTCCACCCTTGACAGAGCAAATAAACCTTGTAATTTCTGCTGTGCATAATGCCTGGCCCAGAGTAGTCTATTAAAAATGATTGTCAGTAATAGTCCATTGTGCATATATACCACAGTTTCTTTGTCCATTCATCTATTGAAGGGCATCTAGGTTGCTTCCACAGTTTAGCTATTGTGAATTGAGGTACTATAAACATTGATGTGGCTTTGTCCCTGTAGTATGCTGATTTTAAATCCTTTGGGTATAGGCCAAGGAGTGGGATAGCTGGATCAAATGGTGGTTCCATTCCAAGTTTTCTTTTTTTTTTAATTTTTATTGTTGGTTGTTCAAAACATCACATAGTTCTTGACATATCATATTTCACACTTTGATTCAAGTGGGTTATGAACTCCCATTTTTACCCTGTATACAGATCGCAGAATCACATCAGTTACACATCCATTGATTTACATATTGCCATACTAGTGTCTGTTGTATTCTGCTGCCTTTCCTATCCTCTACTATCCCCCCTCCCCTCCCCTCCCCTCTCTATACCCCATCTACTGTAATTCATTTCTCCCCCTTGTTTTTTTTCCCTTTCCCCTCACTTCCTCTTGTATGTAATTTTGTATAACCATGAGGGTCTCCTTCCATTTCCATGCAATTTCCCTTCTCTCTCCCTTTCCCTCCCACCTCTCGTCCCTGTTTAATGTTAATCTTCTTCTCATGCTCTTCCTCCCTACTCTGTTCTTAGTTACTCTCCTTATATCAAAGAAGACATTTGGCATTTGTTTCTTAGGGATTGGCTAGCTTCACTTAGCATAATCTGCTCTAATGCCACAAATTTCCCTGCAAATTCTATGATTTTGTCATTTTTTAATGCAGAGTAATACTCCATTGTGTATAAATGCCACATTTTTTTTATCCATTCCTCTATTGAAGGGCATCTAGGTTGGTTCCACAGTCTTGCTATTGTGAATTATGCTGCTATGAACATCAATGTAGCAGTGTCCCTGTAGTATGCTCTTTTTAGGTCTTTAGGGAGTAGACCAAGAAGGGGAATAGCTGGGTCAAATAGTGGTTCCATTCCCAGCTTTCCAAGAAATCTCCATACTGCTTTCCAAATTGGCCGCACCAATTTGCAGTCCCACCAGCAATGTACAAGTGTACCCTTTTCCCCACATCCTCGCCAGCACTTGTTGTTGTTTGACTTCCTAATGGCTGCCAATCTTACTGGAGTGAGATGGTATCTTAGGGTGGTTTTGATTTGCATTTCTCTCACTGCTAGAGATGGTGAGCATTTTTTCATGTACTTGTTGATTGATTGTATGTCCTCCTCTGAGAAGTGTCTGTTCAGGTCCTTGGCCCATTTGTTATTTGTTTTCTTATTGTTTAATTTTTTGAGTTCTTTGTATACTCTGGTATAGCGATACCAGATTTCAAACTATACTACAGAGCAATAGTAACAAAAACAGCATGGTACTGGTACCAAAACAGGTGGGTGGACCAATGGTACAGAATAGAGGACACAGAAACCAATCCACAAAATTACAACTATCTTATATTTGATAAAGGGGCTAAAAGCATGCAATGGAGGAAAGATAGCATCTTCAACAAATGGTGCTGGAAAAACTGGAAATCCATATGCAACAAAATGAAACTGAATCCCTTTCTCTCGCCATGCACAAAAGTTAACTCAAAATGGATCAAGGAGCTTGATATCAAATTAGAGACAGGGCGTCTGATAGAAGAAAAAGTCAGCTATGATCTACATACTGTGGGGTCGGGCTCCAAATTCCTCAATAGGACACCCATAGCACAAGAGTTAATAACTAGAATCAACAAATGGGACTTACTCAAACTAAAAAGTTTTTTCTCAGCAAAAGAAACAATAAGAGAGGTAAATAGGGAGCCTACATCCTGGGAACAAATCTTTACTCCTCACACTTCAGATAGAGCCCTAATATCCATTCCAAGTTTTCTAAGGAATCTTCACACTGCTTTCCAGATTGGTTGCACCAATTTGCAGTCCCACCAGCAATGTATGAGTGTGCCTTTTTCCCCCACATCCTCGTCAACACTTATTGTTTGTATTCTTGATAACTGCCATTCTGACTGGTGTGAAAGTATTAAAAGAGAAAAAACTTATGGCATTTGCAAGTAAATGAATGGAGTTGGAGAATATCATACTAACAAAGTAAGCCAATCCCCCAAAACCAAAAGCCCAATGTTCTCTGTGATAAGTGGATGCTGATCCATAATGGGGGAGAGGAGCATAGGAAAAAATGGAGGAACTTTGATTGGGTAAAGGGTAGGGAGGAGTGAGAAGGGGGTTTGGGAGCAGGAAAGATGGTGGAATGAGATGGACATCATTACCCTAGGTACATGTATGACTGCATACATGGTGTGATGTTACATCGTGTACAACCAGATAAATGAAAAGTTGTGCTGCGATTCTGTACATTGAATCAAGATGCATTCTGCTGCCATATATACTTAATTAAAATAAGTTAATTAATTAATAGTAAAAAATAAATAAAAACAAAAAAAAAGGAAAGCATTTCACTAAGTATCTCTGATGTTAGCGGTTGGTTGTTTGACTTACTTGGGAGCAGATGTGGCAATAAAGTTTTCCTTAATATCTTTTTGCCCTGTTTGAATTTCATGCTAAGCACATATACTGCCAATTTATTTTTTTAATACAAACATTAAAAAGAATTATTGTCAGATTAATGGAATCAGGCCAAAAATTGAACTACACCACAAACCCCAATTCAGAGTAGAACTTGGGCTTGGACTCGATTAGTAGGAGGGTTTCCAAGTTTTGTGCAGAATCAAACATCACCCACTGCAAGGCATGCATGAGATGAACATGCCATTGCAGTCTTCCCTGGGTATGGTTAGATCCTGCAGTGTGTCTTATACTTTACCCTCTAGGAAAAATGAAAACTATCTAATATATTTTTTTTCTAATTGAGGGGGATACATGGATCTGAGAAAACATTGTAATGCAAATTGACTAGGACAGAAGAAGTTTTGAAAAATTATTATAACCTCTTGGCATAAAAGAATAGTGAGTGTGGAGGTTGTCCCAGATGAATAAACATGGGAGACCTAGAGAAATACTTGGAGAAAGAAAATGTCTGAAAAAGATGAGGCTGAGCATTGGTTCATTCTCATGTAAAGTCTCTCGGTCCAGAAAATACAGAATTTAGCAACTATATGTAAAATCCACCACTGAACAATTACCTGGGAGACTGTAAAAAGCATGCTGGTGGTGACTGTGGTTCCCCAATTCATAATAATGAATGAAGAATCAAAGGTCATTTATTGATTGAGATGGCTCTGATTGTCTACTACTGTGCAATTCCCAGAAGGCACAATAGTAGGTAGCTGAGTCTTCTTTCTCTACATTGTGAATGGTGAGGGTAGACGTAGATGTCTCAGGTATCTTGTCCACCTCAAATTTGCCCACTGTAATGCCTGGTTCCAGGTTGACAGTGTCATCAGCTGAAATGAACAGTAGGTGCTTCAGGGGATGGCCAGGTTTTTCCTGATACCAGTATATGGACATGGCATAAATAGTTACTCCAGACAAGATACACTCCAGGCGCGCTGTTTTGGAGAGGGTTTTAGTAATGGAAGGATGAGGTTGCTCCAGGTGACGTGCACCATACACATACACTGAAAAGAAAGAAGTTGCAGTAAATAAAACAAACTCTTGGGATTTTATAAAAAATACAAAATTAGAGAACATCAGTCAAAAGTAAGTAAACAAAACTTACAAACTCCAAGGATGGCCAGAGCCACTGCTGGCTTCAGTGACAGCATGACTGAAGACTGTGCTCTCCTCTGGGGCAGCCAGTTTTCACTGAGAAGAGGCTCAGACTCCTGTGGTTTAGTGGCGAGTCAAGGAGACAAACTCCCCACTGAGCAGGTGAAATGGGCCTCCCCATGCAGCTCTCCTGCCTCTTCCTGAAGGGGGTCCCCAACACCTATTAGCACTTCCACTCTGTGACGATAGGAATTCAAGGTCCACACCTTATGTCAGATCATGGAGCACAGATGGCATCTCTGAACGGTGAGACGACCCACTTACACAGTTGGTATTCATGCAGCTCCCACTGTGGGCAAGGGATGGGGTTTAGGAAAAGAGATTCAGTGGTATGACCTCTGACCACAGAGCTGACTAACAGAGAGATGGCATGAGTCACAGCCATGGGCAAGGATGTGTTCTTTTTCTCTTTCATTTTTTTTTGGTGGGGGAGGGGATTGAACTCAGGGGCACTCAACCACTGAGCCACATCTGCAGCCCTGTTTGTATTTTATTCAGAGACAGGGTCTCACTGAGTGCTTAGCACTTCGCCATTGCTGAGGCTGGCTTTGAACTTTCAATCCTCCTGTCTCAGCCTTCTGAGCCACTGGGATTACAGGCGTGCACCATCGTGCCCAGCTTTTTCTTTCTTTTAATGGACTCAGTATCTTTCACAAAGTAGATCTTCAATAACCCCACCTGTCAGGCCATGGTGGCGGGTGGTCAGGCTGTGCTGTGTATCATTTGCCCACAAAGAGTGTATCTTCACTCAGCTGGAGACTCTGGATCATCAGTCCACTGACCCCTGTTCAGCTACTCCCATATCCTACAGTTTAGGGTCACCTCACTCCACAGATCTTCATATTCCATTCCTGGTGACTGACTTTTGTTGAAGTGTGAAGTTCATGTCCTCTCCCAGCTACTGAGCTATACATCTCTACTAAACCCTAGCTTCCCCTAGAGGGGGGAAGCCATATTCCCTCTTTATGGATTACTGAGCTTGCTTTCTCTGTGTCACTTCCCAACCCAACATATTTCGTGAGTGCTGGAGTATTTATACAAAATGCTTAAAGGGGGTGGTTGTGTAGATTTCTGTTCTTACTTTATCTACTCTGCCTGAGTGGTTGCTCCCCATTGGTGGCTTTAATTATCCTAGAGGGGAGGAGAGAAGGAATGATGGGGACATTACTCCTCCATTGCCAGCCCACTCTTGTTTCCTGGGCTCCATGTGCACATCTCCAGCTCAGACAGCTACAGGTTTGTTTACACAGGACCTCAAAGTGAAAGTTAACAAAGACAGAGTGAACTCTTCCTCTAATGAAAAACATTTCCCTAAATAAGGGAACACCGTTGTCCAAGCCAGGGTCCTGAGTGTAAGCCTGAATTCTCTCCTCTAACTAATTTTTTACACTTCAATTGCTGTGGATTCTTCTACTCAAACATTTCCTGGCTCACCCTGCATCCAACACTTCTTTGCCTTGCCACCAACATGGTCCCTCCGTCCCGATTTCTCCATCACCTGGGGACTGAACTGACCTAGTCACTTCCCTGCTTAGGATTCTCCATCTTGCTCTACTCTGCTTCTGAGGATCAAGTCAGAGCTGTTAGGACCTGAGGTCCCTATGTGGTAACCACCTGTTCCCTTCCCTCTGTCTTCAGCCACTCTCTCCCCAGAATCACATGATCCAAATCTATAGATTGATTGGCAGTTTTCCTCTCTGGACCACTGTATATCCCACACTTCTTGCTGAACTCCTCTTCATGTTTGGGCTCAACTTAACACTGAATCCTCCAGGAAGCTTCTCACCTAGGAGGAAGTCAGGGGTGAATGTGCCTCCAATTGCTTTCTAGTGGCGCCACCTCGTGTCTCCCTCTCTCATAGCCATTCCTGCCTAAATCTTGGCCTGCTTATTCATTGTTCTCTCAGACTCATCAGGCAATCACTAGCAGAGGAGTGAGACCATATCTTGTATTTCTTATATTCCCAGGTGTTTGTAGAATAGGAGAAAGAATGAAATAATGAGTGGAAGAGTGAACATTGAAGTATTTCTCCTCTTGCTGATATCAGTGAAAGATCACCATTTAAAGTATAATTTGTAAAGAAGAGTTACCAAGTACTTAAAGCCTTTAAAGTACTTTGTAGCCACTATCATATTGAACTCCAAAATTTTAATGTAATTCCATGGGGCCTGATGGGAATCAAATATAGAAAAGGCTCAAGGTTTAATACCTTGTCCCTGACAGATTTGAGATTGGTTCTATCTAGCTACAAAGCCTGTGCCATTTGAATTCCTCCCTCTCCTTTTTCTCATTTATCTAGTGAGAATAAAATCAGGACCCACTTTATTAGATATTTTTGAAACATAAATAAGTTAGCCCAGGTGGAGGGTTTGCAGCAGTGCCTAACACACAGTGAGCCCTCAGAAACTGGTTCCTGGCAGACTCTGCCATGCTGCCTTCAATGAACATGCCCAGGTGAGCATCAGAAGCACACCAGTCCTGCTCCTGTCACACTGACTCCCTCCCGTAGAGACAGGCCAGCATCAAGGCTCCCAGAATCAAGTGACAGTGAGAGTGAAAGAATTTGGGACCACTCCTTAGAAATAAAATTTTGAAACGTTGTCATGATTATCCTAAAGGTGAGAATCTTGTTCGGTAAGGAAGTGAGTGAGGAGTTTGTCCCTCCTAATGTCTAGGTGCCCCATCACAGCCAATTCTCAGGATTCACTCCTATCTGGAGCCAGGTTCTGGGAGAGGTGCAGGGCCTATCCTCCTGTGCCCATCCACTTTCATCAGCACAAAGGAGAACAAGAAATGAAGAGAAAAAGCTGAGAACAAAAGGAAAGTAGGACTTGACCCCCCTTTACCCATCCCCTCTCCCACCTGGACTTGGGGGTTCACTAGAGGGGACTAATATGTGGCCTTTGCAGAAGCCAGGCATATTTTTAACTATAAATCTCCAGCCACAAACATCTGAAGTTGAGAGAGAAACTATGAATTAAGGAATCTGAGGAATCAGTTTCTCTCAGAATCATTTGAACTTTCCAAACATTAATGTTTTTATGTTATTGATTTAATGAGGAAGTCATATATACATGTTGACTCTTCCATTGAAAGAAGAGTCAACATGTATATATTCAGCTTAGAATTTAAAGAGCCTTTTGCTATTTTTCTTCCACACATAGAGCAGCATAGGGATTTTCTATTTGGTGCTGGATCATTGGAACACAGGTTTTCTTCCTTTTATTCATTTATTTTTCTTTTATGGAACTTGGCTTCTTTATAGGAAGATAGTGGACATAGTGATATCTTATTGAAATGACTTGGATTTAATGCAGAAATTATATTCACATTTAGTCAAACTCCTATATATTTCAAATGAGTAAACAAAAATCAGAGAAGCTGGGGTGCTTCCACATCCCACATTTGAGTGATGTTCAAGGACAGGGAGCAATGAAAGGGTCCAAGGTCTCTTCCAGGGTTTATCTCATCCCCCACATGATGACCATCTTGTAACATCAGTTCTGGTGCAAGCTCTGGATGAGGGTGCTGAACATGGGTAATGTTGTTTTCCAAACTTCCAATTATTGGCTCTACTGCCACATAAGATCAGTCAGTGGGTACAAAATGAGGAAGCTGGAGAGGTGCAGATAATTTCAGATTCTGAAATTATCAGTTTCTAATAATTGGACTCTATCTGATAGAAATTGATGGGAATTAGTAAGTTCAGCCACAAAAGTAAAATTGTTATGGGGTTTATTGAAAAAGTTAAAGGAAACAGGTAAAGCTAGATATAGGGCTATTGTCATTAAGTCCAAGATATCCTAAATATAATCATTTTAACATTCAAGAAGCTAAAAAGTTATTGATGAGTTATTTTACTTTCTCCCAGTATCCCATCAATATACAGTGTTTATTTTAGAACTAGTGTCCATTCCAACTTGGATTATTGCAGTACCTACTTTCAAATACTCAATAACTTCATCAAGCCAGGGACACCTGGATTGATCAGCACTTTAGCCCGCAACCAGCACCGGCTTCATGAATGAAGGTTTGAAACCTGAGAAATCTCTAGGGAGTTTTGAATTAAAGAGACAGACTCTAATTACCTTTAAACCAGCTCCAGGATCGCTCCTCCTAGCTCCAGCCTCCAGCCACCTATTATTGTAGCAAGGTTTACTGAAGAGGCTAGTGAGAGAGAGAGAACATGCCAGGGAGTAGACTTTTATTGGGGAACAAAAAATTCTGGGGAAAATCCCATCCAATGAAGATTAAGGAGGGGCAGCATCCCAAGGTCAGGGGCGACAATTGGGTCTTTGGGGTAGTGGCCAGACACGCCTCCACATGGACAAGCCATAGGACCTGAGAAGGGTGGGGAAAGCTCTGGACACATGATGTTCCTAAGTGCCTCTCACCCAGCCAGGGAGGAAACTCAAATCACATGAGAGGATGCCTCCCACACAGCACAGCTTCTCTTTCCAGTACAGTAGAAATGCTGAACGAAGAACCTTTGAAAGGCCCCTTTTGACTGAATTGTTTCTCAAGTCTGCATCAGGCTAAGAGCTCACTTCTCTTTAGTCATATCATTTTACCTGAATTGAAAGAACAAAGAGGGACATCTCAGAAAACCCAGGAGGTAAACAGAGGACAAATTTTGTTTTTACTTGCATGAGACAGGGAAACCCAAGAGACCAAGAGTCAGTGAACATGGCCAGGCAGGATCAGGGAGTAAGAGACCTTTTTGTGCAGGATCTTGCTTAGCACACAGGGCTGTGCTGGTCCCAGGCTGCACAATAGTACATGCCCTCCTCACTCTTCCCCAGGTTCAGCACCAAAAGGGAACAGCTATTGCCATTGTTGTTGTTCAAGCCTGTGATTTTATCTGCTTTCAGAATTGAATCCCAATGCACATCCTTCCTGGACACACCCATCCTGAGAAGGTTCTGGGGGGCTTGGCCCTCCTGCTGCCCGTACCAGTGGATGTAGCTGACCCTCATGTGGACCAAGCACTGCAGAAAGACAGAGCTTCCCTTGTGTCCCAGGACCTGGGCTGGCTGCTCCAGTTGGATGAATGAATGACCAGCTGCAAGGGAGAGAGCAGTGAGGTAGGGGCAGACCGAGTCAGGCAGTCTCTGAAAACTTCACCACGAAAGAAGGTGGGGGACTTACCTGGAAACAGGAGAGCCCACAGGAGGGTGAGATAGCCCAGCATGGCTCTATGTTGTGACTAGGGTGACAGTGGCCAGGGTGAATGCTTGTGTCAAACTGCTGCCAAGAGCCACAGCTTGGTGGTGATGGTGGTGGTAGGGAGCAGGGTAGGGCGGGAAGCAGCAGCTCAGGCCCTAATTGGTAATTGGCGAGAGAAATGGGGAAGAGGGGAAGACAGAGGACAGACAGAAAACTAACCACAAGGTGAAGGGAGGAAGGCTGAGTGGTTGGATTTCTGAGAAACACTTAGAGAACATTGGCAGAATAATAAAAACAACAACACAACGGGGATTGCTGGGGACACCTGCATTCTAGCACCTTAAGTATTGATTTATGGCCATTGTTTATTAAATCATGAAAATAATCCAGTGTTACCCAAATTATTACTTTCAGATTAGAAGTGTAGAAAGTGAGGCTGTTATTTTTAGGAACTTGTCAAAAGCTGGACACCTGAGGGAATGAGGATGGAACATGAAGATAGGTCTGGCTGGAGACCAAGTAGACACTTTACCCTCATAGAACCATGAGTGTGCTGCTTACTTTGGAGGAAGAGACAAACACTGAAAGGCAAACTCTGCCAAATACACATGCTTCCCTTCAGTGTTGTCACTGGAGCTTGTCACCCAGAGGTCCTGTGGAAGAATTTCAGTCCCTTAAAGAGCACAACAGCTCTGTTGTTTCTCTTCCTTTTCTTCCTCCATGGTGAGGGACATCATGGGTTGCCAGAGGACTGACTAAAAGGGATCATGTGAGCAATGCATTTGCCACAGTCTCAGATGCATAGAAAATATGCAAGGATATGAGGTATTATTAGTCCGCCTCACCCTGGATGGAGTTCAGTAGTTGTTCTCCGTTCTCTGGAGACTTGGTGTGAAATAGAAATGATGGTTTTAGAGGTGTGTGTGTGTGTGTGTGTGTGTGTGTGTGTGTGTGTGTGAGCGCACGCGCGCACACGTGCATGTGCATATGAGAAGGAAGAAGCCTATATTGGACCAAGGACCAGAACCTAGAGGCAGGCCCAGGTCACTCCAGGATCATGAGATTCCTAGATGTTGGGAAGAACATCGAAGGGGTCACACATCTGCATTGAAGCTTGGAGAAACAGACCTGGCTTTGACTCCAGGGGAAATGGAAGTCTATTTTCAGTTACGCTAATTACACCTAAGGATCTTCTAAGTAGTCAGGCAGATGGCCATGAGGGAAGGCGGTGGGCATGGCAGGAAAGGGGGCTTGGCCCTAAGGGAAGTTATGGGTCTTTGAGGTTCCACGCCAGATCCGGCTCCTGAGCTCCTCTTCTGTGGTAGAGCCAGGCTTGCTCAGTGCAACCAAAGTTTCCAGTGTCCCCAGAACCAGGCTTCAGGTTGTACGGAGTTGGTGACCTGCTCGTCAAACATAAAGGAAATAGAAAATTTTGAAGAATGATATTTTGGTACCCCCATATATACCCTCTCTCGACATCTAGTACTGCTATAGTTAAGAGTTAGGAAGTGACAGCTATGCCATCTCCACATGAAAAACAGTTAGAAAGAGTCACAGTGGAGACCATGAGCAATGTGGTGGTGGGAAAATGGCCAAATCACTTGCTTTCTATTTTTATTTTTTTTCCAGCTTTTCAACAGCAAGATGACATTATTGGGGGGTTGTGTTTGTAACCACTATTTTATGAAAATAAATTTTATTTTGTGTTGTCAACACTCAAAATTTTGTCTCTCAGTTGTTATTGTGACCGTTTTAATCAGCTACTGCTCATTAAAACTTGAAAATCATTTGCAATTGACAAAAATAAATTTTAATAAAATCACCCATAAATCTGCAGCCCCTTACTCTTGTGGGTTAAAAAGCCACTTACATTTTGGGTGACATTTGGGTTTTTTTTTTTTTTTTTTTTTTTTTGGTGCACTTTTCTTCCTAGTACAGTGCATCTGTGATCCTTTTCCAATGGACCAACAGGTTATAGTTATCTAAATTACAAGTTGAAACAAATAGTATGGAGAAATTCTTGGGGCAAGACACAGTCAAAAGGAGACAGAGGTGGCACTAGAAATTTGGCTCAGTTGGAAGAGTACTTGCCTGGTACACACAAGGCCATGAGTTTGATTGTCATTCTGGCGGGGAGGGGAAATAGGAGAGAAATAAGTCAAAAGTGTGCTCTTTCAGCCCTCAGTAGGGATTTGGAATTTCAAATCTAAACTGTCGTCTTCAGAAAAAAAGGAATAAGAGGTTGTGTGAGAGAACATTATACCCTGCCATCTAGTATCCTCTGACAGCTTCCTCCAGAGGAAAACACTCTGGTGGATCAGACTCAGCCAGCCTGGGGTGGCCAATTAGAGGGTGGTGAGAGTGAGTCCAGACTCATCAGATTCTGAATGAAGATCCAGCTGCTGCTGCTGTGGGTGGGGCCTTGTGACCTGAGTCCTGAATCTCCTGCCTGTTGTATCTGACCCAGGATGTCAGGCTTCTGGCCGTTCTAGGATCTGAGAATGAACCTAATTTGACTTCATCTTTCAGCCCGATAGAATAAATTGGATGTGCATGTGATGACAATTACTAATGAAATGGCCAAGTCTGGGAAACCCCAGAGGAAAGCCACTGATATATACAGATGAGTAGAATATAAAGATAAAATTTTACTTTAATTTCAGTTGATATTTTTATAGCACTTTGTTGAATAAAAATGTCTCTAAAAGAACAATTTGTGTCATATTGAAATTATAAAGTTCCTTCTCAGCTTTATTGAGGTATAATGCAAATAAAAACTGTGCACATTCAATGTATGAAATGAGACATTTTGATGTGTGTATGCATGGTGAAATGAAAGCCTTCCTGGGTGGTGCTGGAGGATTGATAGCACAATGTTATTTGAATGGCATTGATTTATTGTAGGAATAATAATCAGAACTTATCAATCATTTGGTTTAATCCTTTCATTTGTCAGATGAGAGAACAAAAATCCAGAGAAGTTGAGTGCATCCACATCTCATGCTGGGTGATGCTCAAGGAGAAGTAGAAGGTGAAGTGCCCATTGGCTCTAGGGTTCATCCCTGCCACAATACAACACTTAACATCGTTCCTGTGCCAGCCCTCCAATTGATTTAGGTGCTAAGTATTGACAATGCTGTTTCCCAACAATTGCTCACTCTACTGCCACATGAGATTAATCCCTGGGGCAAGAACTGAAAAGCTGGACACCAGAGTAATCTTCTCAATTTAGCTTTTCGATCATTGTGTGGAAAAATCTCCAGAATCTTTCACCTTTGAAATCTTTTGCCAAATAATTTGTGCGTTCTTCAGTGGAGATAGTCAGATTCCTAAACTTCCCATCTCTAATGATATTGTCTTTTTAGAAACAATTGTAAATAACTCATGTGAGCCACAAATTCAATGTTTTCTAGTTGCTACATTAAAAACTACAAAGAAATGGGAACATTAATATTATTGCTGTTTAGTCCAAGATAGCCACAATATAACTCTTTAAGAAGTCAACCCATACAAATTTATCAATGAATTATTTCACTTTTTTTTTCCCATGAGATCTTCAAAAGTTTTAGACCTACAGCCCATCTCAACATGGACTCTTGCAGCACTTAACTTTCAAGTGCTGGATAACCACATGGGCCCAGTGGCATCTGTACAGATCAACACTGCTCATCCTCCAAATATTTCAGAAATGCTGGACAGGAGGCCCTCCGTGGATTTCTCACGGAGTCTGTGCCAGCCTGAACACTCACCTCTCTTTAGCTTTATACTCTTATCTGTAGTGGGAATACTGAGGGGCATCTGGGAAAGAACAGGAGATGGAAACATAGGGAATGGAGTTTTTCTCTCATGCAACAGGCAAATTCAAAAGATCAAGAGTCAGTGAACATGTCCAAGGCCTGGCAGGACTGGGAAGCAAAATATATTTTTGGCTGGGCATGGGAGTGCACACCTGTAATCCCAGTAGCTTGGGAGGCTGAGGCAGGAGGACAGTGAGTTCAAAACTAGCCTCAGCAACTCAGCAAGGCCCTAGGTGTTTTGACAAGACCTTGTCTCAAAGTAAACAATAAAAATGCTGAAGGTGTAGCTCAGTAACTAAGTGCCGCTGAGTTTAATCCATGCCACCAAACAGTTCAAACAGAGAGACATTCTTGTACAGGGTCTGAGTTGGCACACAGGGCTGTACTTGTCCCCAGAGCCCACAATAGTACATGTCCTCATCATCCTTCTCCACCTCCAATGCTGACAGGTAACAACTACTGCCATCCTTGGTATTCAGGGCTATGATTTTATCTTTTTTGGGGGGTGTGCACATTCCTCCTGAACATGGTCAGCCAGAGGAGCCTCTGGAGAACATTCTTCTCCTGCTACCGGTACCAGTAGATGTAGATGATCCTGGTGTGGACCGCTGAAGAAAGACCAAGCTTCCACTGTGTCCCAGGACCATGTTGGCTGCTCCAGCTTGATGAGGGACTGGTCAGCTGCAAGGTAGAGAGTGGTGCAGCAGGGACAGATCCAAGCCTGGCAGTCTTTGTAGACTCTACCCTTGTAAGAGGTGGGGGACTTACCTGGAATGGGAAGTTCCAGAGGGCAAGACAATCTGTCATGGCTCTGCATCCTGAACAGGAGAAGAGGAACCCATGGTGAACACTGATCTCAGACTATTGGCATGAGCCACATCCTGGTGGTTGGTACAGGTCACATTAGGGTGTGAGCTGCTGCTTTCCTGGAACAAGGAGGTAATTGGAGAGAGAAACAGGGAAGACAAGAAGAGGCCCAGACAGTGGAAAGACAGATCTGACCACAAGGTGAAGGAAGGGAGGCTGAATAGTTACGGGGTCTCAGAAATGCTTAGAAATTGCTGGTGCAATGATAATATCAATAATGGAAAGCACTGGTGGGCCACCTCCTCCACAGTAACACCCAAATAGTTGTGCAGGGGCTCAGGCAGCACCATGATTGGCTCATGGGTTTTGTTTTATTAGATCTTGAAAATAACCCAGTGGTATAAATAGTATTATCCTCAATTTAGAAAAGTGCAAAGTGATGCTGTCATTTAAGTAATGTGTCAACATCTGAACACATAAATAGCATGAGGGTTGGGATTTGAAGTCAGGTTGACTGTACCCAAATCCCCTTCTTCTTTGGGACAATCTATACTAATAAGGCCACCAGCATGCTGGTTACAAAGGAGGAAGGGATAAGCATAGGAAAGCAATCCCTGCCAAGAAACGCACACTCCTTATCTAAACATGTCACCCAGAGGTTCTGATCAAGATTTTCACTCCTCTGAAATAGCAGGAGACTAACCTGTAAAAATTATTTTGCCCCCTTTTCTTCTCCGAAAAGGAACCTCAAGGTGTTGCATGAAATAATTGGGATCCTGTGACCAAACCACATAGACCAGCAGCAGCAGATGGCATGGAAAACACTCAAGAAATGTGAAGTTTTATTGTGTCATCTCAAAACAGGACAGGTTGAAATAGATAATCTCTTAGAACCAGATAAAGTAAAAATTATAGAGATGACAATTTGAAAGAACTGTGTGTGTATGTGTGAAGGAAGAAACCTCTGTTGGATCAAGGGACATTGAAGACCTGGAAATAGGATCAAGTCACCCTATGCCAGTTCGGGGGAATTCAGAAATGGAGAAGACAGCTAAGGGGCACATTTCAGTGGAGTCCTGTAGATCTCACTGGTCTCTCTCCTTTGTCATTGGCAGTGTTAGGGTACTGAGTTCTTGTCAATCCTTGCGAACTGATGGAAAGATTTTATGAGAGTGAAGCCTGAGTTGACTCTGAATCAATCTGGATGTTACAAACAAGCCCTTCTCAAACTCTTCCTCAGGGGAAGCCAGGGGAAACAGGTGGCCTACCTCTATTTTATCTCTCTTAATGTATTCTATGTGCCTGAGGAGATTGGATTCTCCTACTTATTCTTCCCACCTTAAGGATTTTTCTGAGGTTAATTTTCATTATTTGTCCATCTACAAGGATCACTATACTCCCAATAATCCTCTCCTCCTCCACAGATTTAATAGTTTTCAAGAGGCTCATAGATATTTGTTTTAAACAAAACTTACTTTTTAGGAAATTTGTAGGAAACGTGTTTAAAAGGTAAAGTTCAAAACATTGGTATATTATTTTCTAAATGTCATATATGAAGTTTATGTGTGATGCTTTGTGTTTCAGATGCCATCATCTTAGGGATATAGTTGTATTCCTTTTAAAGTGAAAAATAAAATGCCAATTGGCATCATTATCAATTAATAGTTTGCAAGTGGTTTAAAGTAATACAACTGGAGAAGATAATATAATATATAAAAGTATTGGAAAGAAAAAAATATATATCATATCCTCTTAAAATGATAATTAGAAAATCTGAGACTATCAAAAACATTAGAGATATAAAGATAATGGTAATTTACATAAGCACTAATAACTTTCTTATATATTAAAAATAGACATTTAGAAAATGCAAAGACCAAGTACTTCATTTACTACAACAAAAGCAATAATAAACCAGAAGCAATATTAGAAGAATATATATAGCATCTACATGGACGTAACTATAAAAATCTACTGAAGGGTAAAAAAGAATATGTATGTTTGTGTGTTTGTGTGTGTTGCATGTGTCAAAATAAAATACACATGCTGCATACACACAA